AGAAAGGAGGTAGGGAGGAGGAGGAGAGAGGGAGAAGAAAGTGATGGATAAGGTACAAATATGGTGTATAGAGAGCAGAAGAGCCAATAATTTTGGGGGGGAGTTGATGGTAAGATGAATTGATGTAAACATTTAATAATATAATACGATGTTGGTTATGTAATAGTATACATGTGGTTATATGTTATGAAAATGAAAAAATAAAAATATTATATATTTTTTTCCAGCAACGGGTTCTCTTCCCAATTGCTGGGTGAAAATGGCCATGGTGGGTGTGGCCTACCCAGCCTCTTGCACAAGGGGGCCATTTTCACCTTTCCCAAGCTCCGGAGGCTTTTCTTGAGCCTCTGGGAGGGCAAATACTGCCTCCCCTGGGACTTCCCCCTTTCCTGAGCCTCCACATGGGCCCTGCACTTACCTCACATCAAAAATGGGCCACATGGAGACTCCAGGGAGGGGTGAGGTGGGAGGGGCCAGCCAGGGTGGGATTTGGAGGTTCTCTGGACTGGCCATAATGTTAGCCATGGGTTCTCCCGAATCTAGGCGAACCGATAGAAGCCCATCCCTGCTGATACTGCTGTCCTTTTGTAAGGCCACAAAGACCAAAATATTTTGTCCATCAGCTACCTGTGTTTCAGTTTATTGAATTTAGTAGTCCAGCCTTTCTCTTTCTACTGTAGTACCTTACATTCCTCAAGGAATGTTAATCTGAAAATAAATTATTTAGGTCTCTAATGAGCCATTGTTCATCGCTGTACACTAGCTGATATTTCCACATAATTATGTGACAACAGGCAAAGATCACTGTAGTAAAAATATGTCAATATTTTATGAGAGCAAGAAGAAAACACAAAGCAAAACAACCAAAATGGGAGTTCATTAAAAATAAATTATTCCTGGATGCTGACAACCAGGAAACACTGCGTAGATCTTCAAGACATCTTTTAAATATAACTGCAAAGCCAGCTTGGTCTTGTGGTTAAGGCGCCAAACTAGAAAGCAAGAGACTGTGAATTCAAGTCCTGCCTTTGGCCATGAAAGTCAGCTGAGTGACCTTGAGCCAGTCACTCTCTGTCAGCCAAGCTCACTAATATGTGGGGAAAATAGGAGGAACGTATTCTGGGGATGTTCACCACCTTGAGTTATTTGTAAAAATAATGATGGATGTGAGGGCGATCTGGCTGCGACATCTGTCACCCATTGATCGCCAGGGTTGGGTTGTAAAAATAATGAAGGTGGGAAATAAATAAACAATAATGATTTCATCCCAATTACTATTTTCCAAAACAAAATAATCATAGGGAATGTCTTATAAGAACATACAGCTTATTTAGGTTTCTTTTTTGTAAAAAAACGTAGATCTCAATCCAGTAAATTTAAATTGTTAGCTGAACTGTTGATTTTAACGCCAAAGATTTCCTCAACAGCAAGTCATTCAAAACTCAGGCACCAAATCTCACACACAAGTAGTGAGAGAAATAAAACATTTGGTTTTTTTTTCTGAGATACAATTGTGCAGAATTCCATGGCACTTTTTCTAAAGTATGCATGGGAGTAAAAGGTTAATGGTATGTGGGAAAAGATTTTGAAGGCAAGAAGGTACATGATTGCCAATATATTAATTTAAACACTCATATGATTTTGAGTAATACTCATTGAGAATTTTCTATTGTCACTAAATGCATAGGGTATCAGCGCAAAGCAATGACAGCATAAACTGGATCAATAAGATGCATGAAGATAGCTATATCTTTTTTTAGTGGACATAGCATGCTTGTCCCCGCCCCCCAGCTTATATGGTCACATTTCTTTATTTTAGAATTCTTATTCTTGGCTCAGCCTCTTATTTTTCAGTGCAATTTTTATGCCTGAGTATTGACTGTTAACGTGTCCTGTGCTGGTAACAATTGTAAAAATTAAACTACTAATGTGTTTTCTTCACGTTGATATTCACAGGCTAATTCTGACACACAGAAGTTTGAGTTATAACATACTTATAATGCGCGATAGGTTTGGAGGGCAGCTCTCTCAAATTTGGCAATCAAAATTTTTGCACATAGCGTAATGAGAATCACAAGAAAGGTTATGCACATTGAGCCATAAATATGACTGGATATTTAGACAAGTTACTAACCAGCCTGCGAATATCCCTCTCACTCTCCCACTTGATCTTAGAGATTGCCTCCTGGTGGGACTGATGCTCACTCCGGAGATCCCCGGCTTTTATCTTATCAGCTTGGATCATGTTATTCAGGGCTTCGTCCACCTGCTTCTTGGCAGACTTCAGTTCAGTAATTTCTTGCAAAAGTTTAAGGCGCTCAGAGTCAAATTGTTTCCTGGCCTCTTCACGAGCCTCAATGCTCAGGGCTGTCCGTACTTTATCACTGGTCCCTTCCCGCAATGCATACAGTGCTGACTTGAGTCTCTGGATTTCACTGTCTCTGATTTTCATTGTTCGTGCCATTTCTTGCTCATGCTGTTTGATAAGGTTTTCCCGGACAGCTTGTAGCTCCTTCATCTTCTCCTCATGGAGTTTAGCTTTGAGTTCAGTGATCTGCACTGTCTGTTTGCGTTGCTCTAATTCCCGGATCCGCTTTGTTTCTTGGATTTTTTCCCTTTCAAGTTTGTTCACCTACAGAGTAAGAAGATAAAAAGTAGGCAAAATGAATATCAACAACATTATCACCATCACTATCACCCAAAGCCTATAATTACACGGGATCTCCAGTTTCATAAATGTTCACACAAGCTGTAATTGGTGCACAATTGCAAATAACTTTTAGTTACCAAAGAGGCTAAAAACCAATTCAGAAGTGTAACAAAGGCCTATGCTTTCAGCCAAACCTTAATTGAAGAATGCACATAATAATTGAAATCTATAAATTCATACCTTATGAAAAAGTACAGATTTATCTTTTTATATCTATTTTGGGGAACCCATACAGAATTATAGGTCTGATCTATAAACTTAAAATGAAATATGCTATTGGTGTTATTTTGTATTCAAATTCAATGAATTTTAGAATGTCAGACTACATAATCCCCAGAAATAATATTTTCTTTAACATTCATTCATTGAAAACTAAATATAAAAGTTGTGTATTCAGAGCATGTAATAATATTTCTCTTCACATGATCAAAAGTTCATGATGTGGCAGAACTGAGAAAACAAGACATTACCAAAACAATTATCTTTTCCTCAAAGATCATCTGAGAAACAGTTTCAAATATAGTAAATAGGAGCCTGAGAAACAGTTTGGTTTAATGTTAAATACATTGGACTATAAATCAGAAGGCAGTAAGTTCTGATTTTATCTAAGGTATAAAGTCTGCTGGATGACTTTGGGCCAGTCATCCTTTCCCAACAGTCGTAGGAAGAAGAAGGCAATGACAAACCATTTCCAAAAATGTTGCCAAGAAACCTGCAGAGATTTTGATGTAGTCTCCAGGAGTCAAGATTGATTTAAAGGAACACATATACAAAAGGACACTACTTCACCTTTTTTTGCAACAAAAAAGGAACAATAGGGTGTTATATCATAACTATTTATTTAAAATAAGTCATTAAAAAAAAGAAATAAGACCTTGAGATCCAGAGTAGGATCAGATCTTTATTCCAGTTTATAAATATTGTCCAAAGCTAGAGAACTGGCTCAGGTTCTCTCTCAGGCTTGAGTCCAAAATTAAATATCCAAATATAGAACAAAAGATTGCACCCTTCTTAATATTAACTATCTATTTTCTTCTGTAGTAACAATAGATATACTCTACTGATT